CCCCAAAACCCCAAAACCCCAAAACCCCAAAACCCCGGTTTTTTGTGGATTTATTGAAATTTTTTATTTTTTTGAATTTTGGAAAATTAGGATTTTTTGAGGGTTTTTAATGGAATTATGTGTTATGTTTTGGAGTTTTCGGAGGCTGAATTTAGGATGTCGAGTAAGTCTTCGGTGTTGAGATCGGATTCTGGTCCAGGAAGAGGAGAGGGAGAACATTCAGGGATAGATTCGACCTTTGGAGTTGACTTTGAAGGAGAGCTTTGAGAGTCGTATGATGAGAGAATTATAGACTCAAGCTCGCTATCGAGTGATGACTCTTTTTCCTTAGTGGTTGTGGTTTTGGTAGTTTCTGTATTCTCTTTTGTTTCTTCCTTACTTTGCTTTTCTTTCTCTTCTTGCTCTTTTAAGCAATCTTCTAATGTTTTCCCGCCCTTTGATTTAAATTTCAACTTTGAGAGGTTAATTTCTAGGCTTATCGGGACATGATCACTACCAAGTACATCATCATGGATTTCTGAATCTAATCATGCATTTATAATCTGTTTATTCACAATAAAATAGTCTATTCTAAGTCCTTGAGGTGTAGCAAAAACTGCCTTGGGCTGCTTTCCTGTTCGGAATCAGGTTCCTGATGTAAATTTGTAATTATAAGGATGAAAGTATCTAAACAGATCAACATATCCTTGGCTTAAAAATGAACTGAAAGAGTCCCGCTCTTGTTTTGTAAATCACGGACTTTTATACCATTTGTGAGGGTCTGTAATGTCATCTTCAGTATGGCTAACATTCAGATCTCCGCATAAGATAACAGGCTTGCCTTTTTCTTCTAATTTTTGAATAAATTTCCAAAAATCCTTATCCCATTGGGTAACTCTATAGTCTAGTCTTTTAAGCCCTGGCTGAGAATTTGGAAAATAGGAGGTTACCAAGAAGAACTTATTTAAACTCCAAGGTTAGTGTTCTTCCTTCAAGGGAGTGATCTTCAACACCAATATCATAAATTACATTAAGAGGTTTAACTTTCGTTAGGATCCCAGTACCTGCATATCCCTTATTTAGCTGTGGCATAATTGTAATACTGGGCATATTCCGCTGGGATAAATGACTTTATCTTACTCTTCTTCATAGCGTTCTCATCAATTCTAATCTCATTCAGGCATAAAATCAGTGGTTTATGCGACTTAAGAAACTTTAGTAAATATTCTCTATTAATACTCGTTCTAATGCCATTAATGTTCCAGTTCCACAGCTGGATCACATCTTGGTCAAAATCCTCTTTCCCTTTCTCCTCTACCACCTTCTTTTCCTTAATAAAATTCGTGATCTGACCTATGAACTTGGACCTCTTTCTTTTCATCCTGGTTTGTTTCTATATCCCAAACTTAGCCTATCCTAAACAAGCGGGGGAGTCTAAATAGGGTGGCGAAAATACCTTGTGTAGTGCAAAATAATCCATCTTTTTGCTTGGAATAATTCTATAATTGAGTTGTGCTTGGGGTTTTGGGGTTTTGGGGTTTTGGGGTTTTGGGG